TCTTTCAGGATTGTTTCTTTCATTATCCTTTGCCAATTTCCTTTATTATTACTAATTTTTTTTACTCCCTTATCCATGATTCTTGACATTTATCTTATCTTTTTTTCTTGGTTGGTATTAGGATTTATACTGTTTCTTTTCTCATGCCTCATCCCCCTCACATTCATGATTATTTTATTCCTGATTTGAAGACTTTCTTCCTTTCCCTTTCTTCTTTCCTTGTCATTCAATTGAGTCCCTTACCTTCAATTTCACTGTTTAGTTCCCCATTTTCACATTTTTGTCTTTTTCTCTCTACCCTCCTGTATTCCTTCTCCTAACTATGCCTTTTCTCTCAAAAATTATGCTTCTTTCATTCTAAAATGAACACAAATTATAATACGAAAACATAAATGTTTATACTAAATAGCTTAAATCTCATAACATTATACATTTGTATATATTTTTTATTTTTATTATATTGACCTTTTAGCCGTGCCTGGCTAACAATACAGAAGTTACAATGATGTGGCTCACATGCACTCATGTTACTCTATCAAATAACATAAAACTGACCTTTGGTCTGTACAAAGTACTGTCTTGGCTGTGTTTTAGTAGACTAATGGTGACTGTATTTTACAAAAAGGTTTCAATTATTATACATTATATATATAATATAGATTATTGCTATTTTGAAATAAGTTCTTAATCTTATTTTTCTTAAACATAGAACAATTAGTAAAAAAAAGTAAAGTAAACAATTATCTCTTATAGTTACAACCTTTGTACTGAGTTGCTGCTTGACATAGGATGCTTTGCCTTTAAAAATTTTGCATGTGGAGGATATGAAACAAAATAATTTTTTTAGTTTTTATATATACATTTGAATACCTAAAAAATCATAAATTACTACATCAATGCCATAGAATTCCACTATAATTTATCATGCTTAGTAACTAAGATGCATTTTAGTCTAAAAAGATATGAAATTTCGAGCAGACTAAAGTCACACCCTACCTCCTTGAAATATTGGTTCAAAAGAAAGAGATGGCATCAAGCTCATTAAAATTGCTGAGAAAGCCACTAGGAGACACTGAGCTTCCGATTGGTTATTCATGTCATATATAAAAGTAAGTGTATATAAGGAAGCGTTTCCAAAAATGGAAAGTGATGGGTAGGATACCACTTTGATTTATTACAAGAGCAATATCTTAGCAAGTAGAAAAGATAAGATGTTCTTATTTTATATTATAGCTTGTCAAAATTGGTAATTTGAGTTTCTAATTCATACAGAACTATAGACTTGGTATTTTG